TTAAATTACAATTAAAGGACAACGGTATGAACTGGAGTCATTGTCTTATTATGGACTGGAGTCATTGTCTTATTATGGACTGGAGTCATTGTCTTATTATGGACTGGAGTCATTGTCTTATTATGGACTGGAGTCATTGTCTTATTATGGACTGGAGTCATTGTCTTATTATGGACTGGAGTCATTGTCTTATTATGGACTGGAGTCATTGTCTTATTATGGACTGGAGTCATTGTCTTATTATGGACTGGAGTCATTGTCTTATTACAGTGCTAAAATGCGGAACTCGCTTCCTAACCAAATGAAGGAGTGCAAAGATTTGTATTCTTTTAAGTAAATGGTGTCATTGTGGTCACCATCATTTTGGGATATTTTAATTACTTAAATAATTAATTATTTGTGAAGTCTTACTGTTGTTTTTCTCTGTGTTTGATGTTTGTAATTTTTGTTTTTGTTTGATGTAATTGTTAGTAGTCAGTGATATCAGCCTTTGGCTAGGTATTTCAAACTGACTTTAAATAAACGAATTGAATTGAATTGATCATGAAAAATGCCAGAGGCACAATTTGATGACTAAAAAGTACATGACTGTAAGTACTGAGTACACATACCCTACAACCATCACCAATCTTTCCTCGGCTCACTATGCTTGTAACCCCCCCCCCCCTCCAAAAAGAATGATTTAGGTTACATTAGTGTCCAATTTCATGTTTGACAACCCTTGACAAATATACCTTATTTCATTACAGATTGTAAGTAAAACAAAACCATACAATTTTGTGATTGACTGATGTATGCAGCAGAAATGGCTTCCAATATAAGTGATAATATTACATACGACGATGACAATGCTACATGGGAAGAACTAGGAACCATTGGAATTGTCTTGCAGTCCGGAATGTTGATCATTTTATGTATCACTGGTTGTCTTGGAAACTTATTAACCATTACAGTAATTTTAAAATACAATGATATGCAGTCTGCAACTAATATTCTGATTGCTAATTTAGCATTATCAGACTTTGTGGTATGTCTTCTAAGTGAACCTTTCTTTATCGTTGGTGTTGTGTTACAGCGATGGCCTTTTAACGATGCACTCTGTGTAGCTGTCGGTGAGATCACTATTATGTCATTTCATACCTCAGTGCTCACACTTTTGTGTATTGCCATCAATCGCTACTATGTGATTATGAAGTCACCGACATTAACACAGCGGTACTTCACCACACAGAAAACCATCTTAATGTGCTGTGGAACATGGATGTTTGCTCTCACTACAGCTTTACCATCAGTATTTGGATGGGGTAGAATCAAATATGCACCGGATATCTCAGTCTGTTTACTAGATTTCAACCCTGAAGATTTTACTTTTATTCTGGTATTAACTATCATTTTTGGTGTGATTCCTTTCATTGCCGTGACAGCATGTTATATCAGTATTTATTACACTGTACATAAGAAAACAAAAATGTTCACAAAATCTGTACAACCTATCCAGAAAAAAGAGAACATAAGTGAGGAACAAAAAGAAGGCAGCTCTTCCGAGTCTAAGGGTAATAGCATCCAAGAAAATAATACGAATGGAATTGAAGCAAGAAATCCACATTCAGAAGTAGATACTGATTCCAATGATGCACACACAACAAAGGAGCCTACATCTAAATGTACCACATTGACTGAGGTAGAAACTAACAATATACACGGATCAAACACATTTCTACAGAATCCAATCAGTGCAAAGGTACAGAAAAAAAGATCTACTCCTAAACTCAATAGTCAACAGATTAAAATGATTGAAGGAAAAAGGCGAAGAGAATCCACTGTAGCTGCTAATTTATTTCTTGTAACTTTAGTTTTTTGTATATGTTGGTTACCACTGGGAATAGTAGCACTGATTGCCAGCAAACATGATATATCAAGACCTATTCTGATTCTCAATATCCTCCTAGCATACAGTAATAACTCACTCAATACATTCTTGTATGCTTGGAGGAATTCAAACCTTAGGAAAGCTTACCGTAATTTATTAATGTCAGAAGAACATACAGGTAACTCGTCACTGCCTTCTAGATAAATTAGAAGCAGGTTAAAAGTTTCAAATTCACACGCAGAAAAATGAACAAAATCTATTGACCTAACATATGTTTTGTGATGATACCATAGTCTTCAATTCAATTATCCATTATATATCTTTTATACTTCCTCTAATACTTTAAGATGACAAAAGATACCTGGTAAAGCATTTAAATCCTTAAAAAAATAATTAGGTTCAAATTTATATTTATATTTGTGATTATAACCTTTCCATTTTCTGACAGTGATTTAAGTGTAATAATTAGCAAAGTGAAAATTATATTAACAGTATTAAATTAAAATCAGATTAAATTAAAATCAGATTAAATACCTGAGATTTGTATATGATGTGTAAGGAAAGTATTTTGTGGACATTGAGAACTTGTATCACAAATGTACAAAGAGTGTACATTCATAACACTGATTATAAACTTTCAAATTACCCTTTTTTTGTTGTTAACATAACTGTTTTTCACTTGCTCAGAAGAACTGTGCAGTAGAATGTTGATTAATAGTTTGATTTTTGTTTCTAGTTTAGTTGGGTAAGTGTCCCATTTGCTGTACACAGTCTTCACCAAGACACTTAACTCTATTGTCACAGACCCAAATAAGTCAAATTGCCCAAAATCAAAACCAGTGTATACTAATAGCCTTTTAAACAAAACACTCTGATCTGAACATAACTCCTAAATTAGTTGCAAAAATTCTAACCACATGAAGAATGATATTACCTAAAAAATCACCATTTGAATACATGTAGGGGTATGATGAATGCTAGCTGTGATTTATGTTATGAAAACATCAATAAATGGCATATGTTAATTGGCATGTTTTACTCCCAATTGTAATCTTATTTATTTATTTATTTGTATTTTATATATTTGTATCTTATTTATCTACTTTTCTTTAAATATTATATATTTGTAATTTATTTATTCATATGTATTTATTTTTACATGCTGCAGTACAACATTCATGTGAAACAACTGGCTTTTGTTATATTTTAGAAATAAAAAAATTGATATGTATTATAACTATATTTGTCATTAAAGATTTCATCAATTTTTCTCATCATTGTGTAAGCTCTGCCAATAGAGGGTGCTATTCACCCAGTTACAAATCACCTACATATGGTTGTCATGTGACTTTTATTTTTTTATTTTATGGCATTCAATCCTGCCAGAACAATATAATTATATATAAAGACAAATGCATCCTGAAATTTATCTTCATCATATTATCTTGAAATGTCTATATTCTTGGGAGTCAAATACCGAATTTTCTCTATTAGAAAGGAAATGCAGACATAAATGGCATAGATGTGTCTGTTGTCAAAATAGTTTTAATGATACAGTATACATCAAATGCAATTAGTTTAAATATGATTTGATTGAAGATATGCTTCTAATACAGAAAATATGTATACGCATATTAGTATCATGTAATACAAAAATATTATTAATTAGACTAATACAGTGGTTCACATAATTGTAGGCTGGGGAGTATAAGCATGAAAAGTCACTGATAAAGTTATGAGGAAGCCCCTAACTATATCTGAAAAGGCTAAGATAACTATGCATGGCAAAGGTTGATACTGTGGGTTAAATGCAATTACTCCAGCATGATTTGTTTTCTATCTTGCCTCTATATTTGTTCCTTGAATCCCCAATTCAATGGCAGCAAGGAAACAATCGTTATGACGATGATAAATAAAATGTATGAAAGCCTTGGGAGCTCAATGATCTAAGAGGTACTTGTACTTGTGCCAAGATGTATCATAAGTATACATACTGCCAACACAGCTGATGATATAACAATCCTGGATCATACAATTAAAGTGCACACACAAACAATTATTAGCTTTGACAGGCATTCATTTCTAACACAACATTTATACATGTATCTACCATTTACTGATTTTCTATAGAAAATTATTTTCTACAGAGAATAACAGAATCATTCCACAATTCAGGCGGAAAAATTGAGATTTCTCCGCAAATATCCAATACAGAATATTGAACATAGCTCAAGATAGTTGAGTTATTGCAAGTGTAATTCTATTCCCCAAATATACAATGGTTAAATTTCCCATAGCAAAAATATAGGGAATTTATTCCTGTACACACCACCAGCGTGTTAAATTTCCCATAGCAAAAATATAGGGAATTTATTCCTGTACACACTACGAGGATGTTAAATTTCTCATAACAAAAACTATAGGAAATTTATTCCTGTACACACCACCAGTGTGTTAAATTTCCCATAGCAAAAACTATAGGAAATTTATTCCTGTACACACCCACAGTGTGTTGAATTTCCCATAGCAAAAACTATAGGAAATTTATTCTTGGACTCACCACTAATGTGTTAAATTTCCCACAGCAAAAACTATAGGAAATTTATTCCTGTACACACCACCAGTGTGTTAAATTTCCCATAGCAAACACTACAAGAAATTTATTCCTGTACACACCCACAGTGTGTTGAATTTCCCAAAGCAAAAATTATAGGAAATTTATTCTTGTACTCACCACCAATGTGTTGTGAAGCTCTCTTCTTCTCTTCTTTTCCCTGGCATGTCTTTCAATAGCATCAGCTAAAGACTTATCTAACTCCATTATTTTTAACTGTAACTCTATAAAGACAAGAACAATTAAATTGGGATTTATTGTTATCGATATTGTGGTGCTATCATAGAGAATTTCCTGTACAGAATTAGAGAGACAATTCCAATAAACTGTTGGTTGAAGGTAAAAGTTTAAAAGAAGGAAAACATGCCATGTTTATAGATGATTTAGTGAAATCAGCTGAGAAGAACAGTCTTGAATAAAATGGTGTTTTTATATTTTGCTCAGGATTGCAATAGATTCAGAAAATTGTTGCCAACATCAGAATTGGATGTAGAAATATAGTCAAACCTCTATGTAAAGACCCCCTGCCTATTGTGACCACTTTTGTGTACTAGTAGTCTTGAGATGTATGAGCAACCTGTGTATAAAGACCACATGTCTTATGTGACTAACCTTTCAGCAATATTTTTGCAGATTCACCTTTGTTTAGAGACCATAATAATAATAATTATTCTGTTTATAAAACAGTTTTTAAATTCCCTAAGTTAAACTTATTTAACTCAAATATATGTGTTTCAATAGTACCATCATATCATTTTCTGTCCACATATTATGTCAAATGTACGAGTTGGCGATCAATACAATAATAATCCAGCCTCCATATAAAGACCACCTGTTTATAAAGACCATTTTAATGAATTACCTTGGATGGTTGCTATACACATGTTTCACAATAGAAGGGGATCAATTGATATTTCAAATGTTCTCCCAAGAATAAGGTGTTGCTAATTTATTATTTTGTTTTCAAAAAATCAAGCATTATGACCACTATGCTAGAAGGATCTTGGGCAAAACACGTGTTTTATTTAGATTTGTCTTTGTTTACTGGACTAAGAAAAAAAATTGTCTATAATATTGGATTATAATGGTCTCATTGAAAAGAACAAAAAACAAAAAGTGTAAGACCTGACTTCAACTTTCTATTGAGAAATAACTAATTATATATAACAGTGAATTCATTGTAAACAAATCAAAGACCTTCACAATATTAGTATACATTTTTGTCACTGCTTGTAATCACAACAACTTTATGAGGTAACAAAAATTATGTCTATGTAATCATTGTGTGGTCATCAGCATTTCATTGAGAACCTATTTCCCACATGTTCTATGTTGTTGCAGTGTTACAACTTAAAATTAAACAAAAGAAGTATTTGAATGCTATGCAAATTATCTTGGTTTACCCCAAAATGAGAATTTTAAATGTTCGAATGAGTGCATTTTTTAATGCTGAATTTTATTTTATTTGTACAGAACTAATGAAGAGCTTATTTTACTTACGCTTCATATCTAAATTATCTGACATCCATCTTTTGTTGTACAATTCAGCTTGATCAATTGCTTTCTCATATTCTTCTAAAAACTGTTCAGGTAAATCCAAAGCAGCTGTACGCACATCTTGTAGTTCAGTTTTCAAATTCTAGAAAATAACACATTAATGCAGATTATTAAACTGCTTATAGTCATTGTATTCAGTGTTATAATAACCATAACTACAGTAATTGGCTGAGTATCCTGCATATCAAATAGTATTACCATAATATAAAACATGAACAATTATTCAGCTGGTATATATAATAATAAAGATAATTTATTGCATCCTTATATATATTGACCAGTGGTTTTGGCCTCCTCATTTGAGTGTCTAAGATACTGCCTTTGGTATTCAATCCTAAGTAGGATTTGAACTAGCACTACAAAAAGCACATTTATTGCTTACACCCACTCACAATCACAGCATGCTATGTTATAAATGACAATAAATTGTCATAGTTTTACTGATTTATAAATACACTCCATACAAATATTTGATTGATATCACAGTGACACATTAAGGTAGCGAGACTATTATTTGTGTTGAAAATTACGATTTTCACATTTATTTATTAATTGATGAAATGCACTATAAACTTTCATGTGATAAAGTCAACATAACATAGAATGTCATGTAAGTTGGTTAAAATGTAGATTTTCTGAAGGGAAGCAAGGCAGCCTCAGTAGTGTTTTCCAAAATCAACAACACAGGTTTAATCTGCGTGCTTATAAGTTTCAAAGATAAACTCAAGACAAAGCAATGTTAGGATGTGTTATCAGTAGCTATCTGACACACAATTAGTGTTTCCAAACATTTGAGTGGTTTGTCTCCGCCCCTATTTGTTTCACAGATTAGTCATTTGCATATGAATGTGTCAGACACAAGGTCACACAGCCACTGAAAAAAATCATTGATTTTGGTGTTTTCATATGCCGAATTTATCCAATTATAGCTATCCCATTCCTTTATTTTTTTTGGTTTACATAGCCTTACACATTTGGATGTCCCTACACATGTTAAAACAAACCTTGATGGGAAA